CCGTTTAAGGTGCATTATGAGGTAATGGAGACTGTTAAAATTTGGTGCTGGCAACTGTCTTAGAAGATCCTTGCTTTTTAGAATAATTCGGTTTATTTCTATACATGCGCTCGGCCATTTTTTGTCTTGAGGACCATCTTTCCTCAGCTCCAGCTCTTCACCGATATTCTGAAGCTCCTTTGAAAGGTCCATACATTCCTTGTACAGTCGAAATAAAATAAGTGGCTCTGGGAGCTGAAGAAATAAAGTGGCATTAGGAACATCATCTTCTCCATTCTTTTCCTGTCAACAGTCAACTATTATTCACAACTAGCAAGTTCATTTAAAGGGTTAGCACATCTCTTTACACCAGTAAAATGTAATTCTTATCCATGTTTGTACATGTACACATATTAAAGGACAGGCCAGACTGACACTCTCAAAAGGGTCAACCTTGCTCTCAGAAGGAGTACAATGGGAACCTTGTTTCCATTCATGACTGACTTTTCATGAAGGACAGCTTACATTTCAATGAGGTCACACTACGGATCTACTTATCAAATACTTCTGTGTAGATATTGGTCTTTCCTTCTATAGTCAGATTTACATTTCACTTCACCAAATCTTAAGGATGTATTATTATTTAAGAATAAACAGGTTTAATAAGCAAGGGCACAATTAAAAGAAGAAAAACTTCTGTGAGGGAGGTGGAGGCATAACTAGAGAGGGGCGCACAAGTCCTTCCATAAGAGGCAGAGCTGTTGGGAAGCATCAGAGTTGGAAAGAACCCATAGCTGAGCCTCTGGCGGGTTTGTAGAGCCTCTATATCACACTGGAGGAGACCGCCTATCTTTCTCTCATAGAGCAGCATCTGGATTCAAATCACTTGTCTCTGGGTCAGCAGCACAACTCCTGACTACTAACTAGGCCACCAGAGCCCCCTTGATAAGGTAATGTTCTATTTCATCAAGGTGAGAGGAGGAAAAAAAGGAATGTGAATTATTATAACTGACTCTTCCAGTTTACACACTCATGGATATGTGTATTAATAGTTAAGATACAAGGTTATGAAAAGATACACAGGATAAATTTTATCAGCACAATAAATACCTTACTTTTTATCTTTTCTGTTTAGTGGTATATCTCAAGAATATAAACTTTACCTGTCGAAGGTATGATTTCAATACTTCACAGATATCATGAGAGCCAAATTCAGAAATGTCAACCAAGTTCATTCCATTTTCAAAAGCTTGGCATAGCTTTTCAATTTTTACTTTATTTCCAGATACACGATAAATACCCTTGAAGTTAAAAAGAAAATAGTGAAAAGTCTGTTTTAGTACAAATGACTACTGGCACATATTTAAAATATGTATAATGTGTCTACTTAAATTTTCATTAGTATTCCAGGGAGAAAAAAAGCTGATCAGGGCCAAATGAAGTCACATTTTCCAAATAAATCTAGATAAATTCAGTTACTTGGGGGGAACCTTGGCATTCCCTCCCCATGTTTAAAGTCCTCTTTTTATTAGAACAGACACTTATTAACTTTTAGGAGATAAAATGTACCTGAAGACATAAGGCTCGATTTTCAATCTCTAAGGCACACATTTTGAGTATAAAAGGGATGCCGTCTGGCTCCCTATTTGCAACTTGGGTGAATTCTGCTCCAAATAAGCTCATTTTTCCCATAAGCTTCTCATGGCCACATAGAATGACTATGTTCTCCAAACACTTTCGGTGACAAACAAGGAGGCACTAGAAGAAAACATTCGTTTAGAAGTCATTCATTCACCTTAAAACTGTTCACCAACTGGAAAAAACTGAAGATGAGTAAAGCATTTAAAAAATGAGTTTAATAAATGTTATTTGTGGGTTTGCAGTATCTTTTTATTAGCAACAAAATCATATAAAAATTATGGTCTATACTGTAGTACAATTTATTAGAAATACATTTGCTAAAGAGTATAATGAGTAAAAGTAATAATGAAAAAGTACAAAGCAAAACACAGACTATTTCAATTCCAGATAGGTCATACCTCTTCACATTCGAATCCATGAAATACAACAATGCTTTCACAGTCCCGACATTTGTTAGGGGATCTCAATTTGCGAAACTTATGGGTAAGGGCCGGTTTTGACATCAATATTTTCTTAAATGGTCCAAGAGAACTAGGTCCTTGAATTAGAAACATATTTGTCAACAAGGACTGTAAGACAGAAAAATTACCCAGTATGATAGATTGTATTTTGAATAATCTTTAGACTTTCAAGTAACTAATATATTACAAAAAGCTATTAATTTGAGTATAACATCAAAATAAATGTCTAGTATACAATGCTGCTCCAGATGACACATTTACCAAATGTTCTGGCTATGAGTAAAAATCACCACCAAATACCAGTTCTTCTAAAAGATGATATTTTAAGAATTGGCAAATTTATACTGCTAATTATGACGTTTTTATAAGTTTGGAAAGAATGTTATAGAGGTGGAACCATAAAAAAATGTTTCAAAAACATCATACCTGCATGAGGTTTGTGTTATTTGCATTAAAGATAAAGCTACTATTAATTCATCACAAAATTATTCTTAGTACTAGTATGAGGTTTGTGTTATTTGCATTAAAGATAAAGCTACTATTAATTCAACACAAAATTATTCTTAGTACTAGCTAGATATCTACCAATATTCTTTGGGAATTCAGAAATTCCTTCCTTTTATGATGTGATACCAAAAGAGTTATTTGGCAGTCTCAAATATACAAAACTCTTTTGTTTGTTGTTGTTGTTAGGTACTGTCAAGTTGAGTACAACTCATAGCAACACTGTGAACAAAAGATCTGAACTCTGTTCTATCCTCTACCATCCACACACTTCCTGAGACACAAGAGCCCACTGTAGCAGTCACTTGCCAATCCACCTGGCTGATGGTCTTCCTCTCCTTCCCCAACTCTCCACCCTTCCCAGCATTATGTCCCTTTCCAAGGATTAGCCTCTCCAAGCAACATGGCCAAAGTATGTGAGGCGAAGCCTCATCATCCTTGCCTCTAAAGAGGACTCCGACTCCATCCTCTCCAAGACATATATTTGTTCTCTTGGCCAGCCGTGGGATGTTCAGTGTTATTCTCCAACACCTCAGCTCAAAGGCGACAATTCTTTTTCTGTCATCTTTGTTCACTGTCCAGCTCTCAGATGCACAGTAAGTGATTGAAATGACTACGGCCTGAATCAGATACACCTTAGTCCTAAAACTGACATCATTACTCCTCAGTAATTTGGAAAGGTCCCTAATAGCAGATTTTCCCAGTGCTATGCATCTCCTTATTTCCTGACTGCTGGTACCAATGGTGTTAACTATAGATCCATGCAAGAAGAAGCTGTTGATAGTTTCAATATCCTCTCCATGATGGCATTGCCTATGGGTCCAGTGCTAAGAATCTTTGTTTTCTTGACTTTGAAATGCAATCCATACAGAAGGCTGCATTCCTTGATCTTCTACAATAAGTGCTTCAAGTTCTCCTCACTTACAGCAAGCAAAGTTGCATCATCTGCATAACGCAGGTTATTGATGAGAGGTCTCCCTCCAATCCTGATGCCACAATCCCCTTCACAGAATCCACCTTCTTGGATAGTTTGCTCAGCATACAGATTAAATAGGTGTGGTGAGAGAATACAATCCTGACTCTCTCCCCTCTCAATTTTAAGCCACTCAGGGTTCCCCTGCTCTGTTTACACAACAGCCTCCTGGTCTAAAACTCTTAAAGGAGTCTAACTGAGTCCATTCATTAACAGTCTGTGCTTCAAAATTCACAACTTTCCTTGTCCTTTTGCCTAAATTGTATACTGTTTCTTAATAAGATCTTTATAAATTTTACTGCATTAAAAAACTGCTTTTACTTAGAAAACCCTAAAGA